CTAGTAAATACTAGAGCATTCGCCAAGGTACAGGATAGTTCTAGAAAATAGGTGGCGCCACACCAGTCACGTGACCTAGATGACGCAACAGTATTATCATAAAGTAGATTAATAAATAAAAATTAGACCTTCTCCTTGAATTCTGGCCATTCATACTGTTTTTATTTGTATAAATTATTGTTATTTCTCACACCATTCATATGGTAGTTTCACAATAAATAAAAGTATCTGAAGTCATTCTGTAATCATAACAATAAGTGACACTTTGGACTCGTATACTTCTCACCTGGGCCTGGCATGGCCAGGTGGTTAGAGCGCTCGACTCGCAATCTGCGGGTCCCGGGTGATCTGTATTTTCTATTTTGCTGTCCCCGTCCACTTTTGTTACATATTATTTTGGTTCAGGTACTTTACTAATATCATCAGAAACCACATAATCAATGGGAAAATCTATTTTTGTATAGTCAAGTTCTATATGGGTATTTTCTCTTCTCAGACGATAGCTGCCAACTCCAGAGCGGCCTCTAAGCATTTCCTATAAATGAACTAAAATGTCTGCAAAAATAAAACTAAAACACCATTCCATCCATATTGACCTCTTCCACTGGACAAGTTCTTATAGAAGAGCGTCCACGCTTTTTGAAACATTGATCGTAGTTGTAAAAATTCCGAATTTTGCTAATAGTCATCTCATTCTTTTTCTGGCAATGTCATTCTTCACATTTACTTCAAACTACGCTGTAAAGACTAAATTCCAGTTTTTCTTTAACTAGGTATAAGTGTTTTGAAATGAATCCTTTGTTTTGCAGAACAACAGACGAAAATAAAGCTCTGTATGTTTACGTCCATTCATGGTTTGAGATCCATAACTTCATATTCGTCATTAGATAATTCCCAACAAAATACATTTATATTTGTGAGAATACAGTTTCAACTGCCTTTGCAATTCCTCCTTCTATGTCAGCAATATAATACAAACTTGTGATAAGCTATTGCTTCTAAAATTAACTAAGTTTAAAACTCGCGCTATATAGCTATCTATATCATAACACTCGCATTACACTTAAACAGAAACAGACGTGTATATCTAGCACTTTGGATATAACTGTGATGACCAACAGTGTAACGAACATTTGTATCTACGTTTGACTTGTTTTAATATATCATTTTAAAATAAATGAACTGTGTTGCTGTTTGTTTATTGTTGAAATTGGTCGCCAAACAAGTCACAGACACCTACTGTAAATAATCCGGCCTACAAAACCTGACAGTAGCAATAC